TCGACTGTGTCATTGCTCTGCATGTTTTCGGTGTAAGGGGACCGAAATGTTTGCCAAAAGTGCCAAGCAGGGCCGGGTAGTCTTCTAGTCTTCCCCGCCTGTGGGGAGGAAGCATTATACGCAATACAAGGAAATAGAATAGATGGGGTAGGCCGAACGCAGATCTGCTAGCATCATCAACAGAGGTACTTCTTGCCCTTCAGAACAGCCTAAAGTTGCACCAAGGATCGAAACCGTTTGCAAGAGCCAACCTAGCCTTATCAAAATTGGTAGGCATATAATGAGCACTGAAACTTATAGCCCAGTGTGGTCATCCGAGAGGGCTGATGAACTCACTACCGTCACCACAAAACCTTCCCCCTGTTCCGCGCCATGGAACACTACAGCTATATTCCATAGACTTCAGGCTCATGATTATATATAGAGATTAGAAGTCGATACCGTACGGGTCAAGATTCTCATAGACGTTCAGACGAGTAGACCAATAAAGAGGAAAGCCGCTGTGATAGACGAGTTGCAAGGGCTTTGGTGTCTTGTCTATCAATCATCCCAAGGCAACACAAAGATCATTCATCTAGGGCATGTGAAGTGCATTTGATTTGTTATATCCAAGTATGCTCCTCGAAGCTCAAGGACGGAACAACTCAGTGCAAGATTGTTGGCAACTCTGGAAAATTAGAGCGGGGAAGAAAGGAAGGGTGAGGGGAAATTCGTAAGGACAACAATCCGGCAGCATGTCGTTGGCTCGATGTTGGCAGTGAGGTACTTGTCGAGCGTCTGTGTGTGTAGACATCAAACCCACGAGGGCCATGATAAGATTTCGACCGTGCATGACTTCGTAACTTCGGATATGTCGGCGATTGTCAAGACATAGTGAGCACTGCTTGATGTGTCAACTGGTGTTCTACATCAAGAGGAAGAGTCGCTTGTCGTTGACATCATTAACCACAGACATTTGATGGTGTCCATTTACACCAGGTGTTCTGCCACCCACATATTGTGCTCTTTTCATGCCTGGGCCTCTACAAATGTCTTATTGCTTCAGCATTCTACAGTCATGGGCCTATATTGACTGTCGTGAACCACCTTCGTCAACTCACGACTCACAATTATCTCCCGAGGTTGAAGGCGCAGAAAACAACAAGAACTCTGCAATCTGTGAGATGCATACCCAGAAATTTGTCTTCTTCCCTCTCTGCCCCAGGGTGTTGAACCTCAATCAGGCAAGAGGCATAATTGTTCCTGATATTGACACGGCTTGTAATCTCTATTCCGGCATATAGCAGTCTCAAATTCCCATAGATATCAACTCTAATCATCTTTGACTTACTGTTAGATACCAGTAATCTTATCAATTAACCCCCACTTCCCAGTGCAACGTTGTCCGAGCGCCGGCGAGTGTCCAAGTTGCCACCGTGAGGGGATGTGGTTCCATGTACAGGTCTCAGGCTTCGTTTCTGTGAACATGGGATCTTCCCAAAGCTAGGAGATAAAGTGAATTTTGTCTGGATTTGAAAAGATTCCGGCCGATATCAAAAGTGCTGAGGGTGTGATAGGCAGGATGGGGCATCATGGATTCCTGTGGCTCACAGCCGCTGTCTTCGGCTGTTTGACCCGGGAAGCCGAAGCGCAAGATACCTGGTGCGGTAAAGTGTATAATGGGTATGTCAAACCTCAGTGAACCATGTTGTGATTCGCCGTAGACCACAGCTGACAGAAGTCGACCGTCAACATGTGAAGGTCCGCGCAGATCATTCCTGGGGGATTCTTGACGCCGCCTGAGCCAGCATCAATCCCTCTATTAGATGTTCGGATAGCAACCCGGCACAGTATCTACGTTGGTAATGAAACCACCGCGGAGCTCATTGTTGATGCGGGCCTCTCTTACTATCACGGGTCGGCGTACTCGGCCGCCGTGCCAACTTCACGGAATGGATCTGATGGCCTTTACTTTACGGTCACGGTTCAGGGAACTCTGCTCGTATCTGGCAGAATCCCAATCAACACAACAGACAACCTCTTCGAATTCAACCTAACGGGACTCGAGCCGAGTACATCGGCGTACGCGGTCACCTTGGTAGGAACTACCTCGAGTGGTGAAAACTATACTGCACATTCCGAACTGTTCTATCTTCCAGAGAAGACTACCGGCAGCGTTGTGAAGGTGGACCGTCTACACGGTTCGCTTCTGTACCGCAACAGCGCCACAGGAGGTGCCTTCATACCAGTATTCCCCTATGGATACTACGGCGACTATGGCGGTTACTTCAACGAGACCGAGAACATCATCGCATACAGACAGGCTGGCTTCAACACTCTCAACCCGGTGACCGACTTTGCGGATGGCAACATGACCTACAGCGTCGATGCGATGGATCAGGTCAACCTGCTGTTCCAGTACGACATGCGGAACTCTTTCCGGAACCTGACCTCGGTGGCCGAACAAATACCCCTCGTAAAGGACCACCCATCACTACTCACATACTACACGGCAGACGAGCCCGACGGCTGGGGCTACACCTTCAGCTCAACCACGGACGCATACAGCCTCCTAGCATCACTCGACAAGTACCACCCCACCGCCCTCGTGCTCAACTGCCAGAACTACTACTTCAAGGAGTACTCTGCCGGCGCCGACGTCCTGATGGAGGACGCCTACCCCGTAGGCATCAACGCCACCTGGTCGAAAAAGTGGCACACGCCCGTGAACCGCACGTACGGCGACTCCGGGTGCGACAACTGCGCGGGCAGCCTCCTCGACGTGGCCGCGCGCGTCGACGACCTCCACGCGTACGGCTCCTGGGTCAGCTCGGGCTCGGGCTCGGGCTCGGGCTCGGGCGTCACCAGGCGCAAGCCCGTCTGGGCGGTGCCGCAGGCCTTCTCCGGGGAGGAGTACTGGGCGCGCGACCCGACGGCCGAGGAGGCGTGGGCCATGGACCTGCTCGCCTTCAACCACGGCGCCAAGGGCCGGCTGGCGTGGATCTATCCGCCGTCCGGGGCGCTCTCTGGTGCGGCGGCGCGGCTGGCGGGGGTGGTCACGGCGTCGCCGGTGGTGGACTTCCTGACGGGGGCGAATCCTGTCCTTCTGCGGGATGGAAGGGCTGGCAATGGGAGCCTGGATGTGGCGTATTGGGCTTTGGGTGGCGGTGAGGGGGTGTTGGTCGGTGTTGTCTATCCCGTCAACTCGTCCATCAGCCTGCCGGTACATGTCGCGTTGCCGGATGGACTTGAGGTGTCTAGGATTGTGTCGCAGCCGTGGGGGAGTCTGGGGTGGAGGTTGAATGGGTCGTTGCTGGTGGCTGATGGTGGTCTCCAGGGACTTGATACGAGCTATGTTATATTAAGATGAGGCTCTGGCTTCAACGTAGCGCTTCACGATGACTTGAAAGAAGGCAGTCGGGCGAAGGCTCAACTTGTTGACGGCCCAATACATACCTAGTAGTATCTATACTTATGTACGTATCATTACTGCCTAAGCACTGTTCCTTTTAGCTAGACCAACTGGATGGTTTCTCTAGACGTATATATATGTCTGTAGGACTCGCTCGCCGCCTTGCACATTGTCTCTGTAGCGGTCCCAGGTGACTTCAAAGAGTCTGACCCGTCTGTATACCTTCATGCCATCTTCACTCTCGTCTGCTGGCTCTAGTATCAAGCCAGTGACATCATGTATTCACTAACTAGCGAGTCTTCTCATCTCCTCTCATCAACCCCATGAGGTGGGCCTGCTACCAAGGAGATAGTTCTCAGGTCGCGACCGCTTCAATTCGTCGTCATTCAAGCTCACACCGACCCCGCTTGCAGTCAATTCGGCCATGGTTCAACAGACGGTTGAGACACTGCAGGCATGGAAGCTGCAGTTCAGTGGGAGGCGCCGCGTCCTCGCCATCAGAATCATCGATGACAACAATGCTATCGATCACGCGGCGTCTCTTCTGCGTGACGTTAGCTGACGTTAGCGTCACGGGCTTGGCACGGGGCTGGGTCGTCACCGTCGGGGGTACTCACCTGGTTCGCCGCCTCCGCGTAATGGGAACGGCCGGGCTGTCCTCCTCCTCTGCGGCGTGGGGGGTCAGCGCCACCACCGCCAACGGTCGCCGCACCCCCACTCTCGACGGTCGCCATGTCTTCGCCTTCTTGCGGGGCGCGGGAGATGTTGGGAGGGATGTGATGATGATGATGTTGCGGGCTCGTCACGGGCGCGCTTCGCTTGTTGATTGTCATCCATCGTTACCTCCATCTTGAAGCCATTAGCCAGCTCGCTCCCTAGAACTTCGTAGGGAGAGACCCGGCTTCTGATAACCAGTAACGCCTCAAGGGAGTTGCAATCTTGATCCAGATCGTCGAGGCTGATCAAATCTGCGAGAGAAATCTTACCCACCAGAGGGCCACATGACCGGGCTGTCCATGGAGCACCATGACCAGCTTGACCAGCTCGTCGATCTGGGGCCGATGTTGTTGTACGTGAATATTCCGGGATCATAACTCCCGTCTCTATTTTTCCAGCACAGAGCGTATGACAGGTCGTCCTTCCGAAAGCCGGCCACGTACTCCGCGTCCGCCCCACGAGTTCGAAAGTGCTTGCAGAACCTCTTGACCACACCCGAGATGGCGAACGGGCCTGAAACTCTCGAATCTGAGCCGACGATCAATATAATCACGCAAGATGTCATACCACAAATTCCCTTGCCTATTCAATCGAGTACCACCCATCATTGATGATGACCTGGGGTACGTCGGGGTCGAAGAGAAGTCTATCTTGCGAGCCGTAAAGTGCTCGATCTTCGGTGAACAACATCTCTCTGCCTCGTTCGAGTTTCTTTTCACGGTATCAGTGATAGAGGGCCTGAAGGTAAGCCATACGACAGGCGTTGTCAAAAAAAGATAAGAGACAGTGTGTGTGTGGTCTGCCTACCAACACCATATCACTCACTCCAAGCCATTCTATTCCAGGCTCACTCACATGTGATGTGACGACAAGAATGCAAAAACAAAAGTATTGCGGTGAGTGTGGATTGAACACACGACCTTCAGATATACAACTGGAGTTATTCGACTTCAGTCTGACGCTCTCCCAACTGAGCTATCCCCGCAGGATGTTGAAAGATCTTGTTCCAGGGTGCTTCTTGAGTCACGATGTAAAAGTTCTGCCGGAGTGAGAAGTTTTCCGGCGTTCCGGTCCAGTTGGCTCGTGCTGTTTTTAGCTCGACGCGGCCCGATCCACCTTTCCAGCCAATGAACTTACACCGTTTACCCGTCCGCTTTGGCTGCTCTGCTGATAGAACCTCCCCTCCCCTCAGGGGCAATCCCACGTAATGTTCACCTACCGATCCCTTCCGAGCTTTTCAAAGCTGATACGATATCCCACCGATCCTAGGCTGGGGCCTGTCTCCAATTTGAGATTGCTAGGATAATTAGGTCCTAGAGTTCTATCAGTTACACTGGCCACGGGGCAGGGGAGAGGGGGGGACGGCCTCAGGGTATACGATTGACAGTAAGGTCGTAGATGTAAATTCCCCCTTTTTTTGGGGGGTTTTTTTTTCTTTTTTTTTTTTTTTTTTGGTGAAACTTTGATCCGGTTAAGCCTGCTCGAGAGCCCAGGACTCACATGTATTTGGCTACTGACTTGGCGTGTTGCAGTCCTCGGGTACCAAGATTGTCTTCGACTACATAGTGTCTAATAAGGATCTGGTAGTTATGTGTAAGGTATATATATGTGTGGGTGTTTTCTTGTTCTCATTTTATTCTTCGGAGCTGGGAACTTCCCAATGATACTCTACACAAAGCCGCGCCATTCCTTACATTCATGAGCCCGTTGGCGATTTCGTTGGAATGCAAATAGTATGAACGGTTGGTGACAAGCGCAGCCTCCACCTCCTTCTGAGGGATGAAGTCTGATGGAGACATTGATCTGTCCACCCGCCGTTCAACCTTATAGCAACTTATGGACACGAGCGGAATTAGTGAAAACACGGTCTCAAAGTCGTTGAAAAAATTCCTTGATCTATAGGTACTGACCGTGTCAATCTATCTCATTCATCCATGTCATCCACCAAGGCGCCACCATCGTTATATTCCAAGGTTCTCACCAGCCATGTCGCCTCGCACATCTCGAAAGGAGAAGAAGAAGAAGACATGGCCCTCTCCATCTCGCCCTCTCTTCACAGGCAAAGCCAAGCCAAGCCACAAGAACCTATTCCTCACACTCCTCAGTACAGCCCTCATCTACCTCCTCTACAAATCCCACCCCCTCCCACCCAGAGCCAGAATCCATCCGCCTAGAGCCGTACCATGAAACCCCAACAGAGAAGACCACACCCATGACGCCCCAAAGAGCAGCTGCGACCGGGGAAGCATAGACCTCAAGTACCCACCCACAGGCATCCCCATCCCCCGTGCCCACAGACGGACCAGTAACCCGCCCACGCATCCAACACACCTCCTTCGCCAGACCGGAAACCCACGCGGCCGCCAGGGCCCTCGAGGCCCGGAGGGACGAGGTCCGCTCGCTCTTCCGCAAGGACTGGGAGAAGCTACCTGCGCTTCGCATGGTGAGAGGGCGCGGTTCTGCCCGTGTCGGGCGGCGCGGCGGATCAGTTCTAGGTGCGGGCCGCCACGCTGGTGGACACGCTGGACACGCTTTGGATTAAACGGGGATGAGGGAGGAATTCGACAGAGGCGGTCAGCGCAGTCGCGGCCATCGACCTCGTGGGGGTGGGGGAGGGGGAGGGGGGTCCGTCTCAGGGGGCGCATCAACATGTCCGAGACTAGCATCCGGTACCTGGGCGGCCTGCTGGGCGCGTTACGACCTCAGCGGGCGGTCCAAGGTGGGGGGCGGTATGCGGGGCTTCAACACGGCGAGCCGGATGCCGGTGGGCTTCTCCGACATGCGGCAGAGTAGGTTGCACATGGGCCTCGAGGTAGAAGAGGGGAGGTCGTGTCCGCCGCGCCGGGAACTCTCCTTCTCGAGTGTACGAGGCTGTCGCAACTCACAGGCGACCTAAAATACTACAGCGCCGTAGCGCCGTCGCGCCGTCGCGCCGATCGCGGAGCTTTCCCGCGCCGGGCAGGACAGCACGTTGCTCCCGGGGTTGTGGCTGCAATGGGTCTCCGTGAGGAGGGAGGACGTCGTCTCCGGGGTTGACTTCTCCATCAGCAGCGGCGCGGACTCGCAGGAGTTCCAGGAGATGGCCTGGGAGATGTTCAGGGCTGTTGGTAATGGCACTGAGACGAACTTTGCTGATGCTGCGGTTGTGGATGTGACCAAGGCCAGATACCCGCTCGAGGAGGTGGACTATATGGAGGTGAGTGCGACTGATATCTTGGTAGGCCCTTCCACATGCTGACATTGATGATGCAGAGCTTCTGGCTCGCCGAGACACTGAAGTCTTATTATTTGGCTCTGTCTCCGCCTGGCTTGATCAGTCTTGACGACCTTGTCTTGGACACGGAGGCACATAGGTTCAGGAGGCTGAGTTGATGTAAACAAAGCATTGCAAGGAGTTCGGCGTTCGGCGTTAATGCTGTATGTCTATCTTAGGCCATTGTGGCCCCTGGAGATCTTGGTAGGAACAATATAAGGAAGTCCCTTATGGTCGGATGCGTCTATGAGCTCACCACCACCCATGGCGTATCGTCAACCTCGATGCAAACAACCCAAAACACTGATTATCCTCCTGTTAGTGTCGTGCCAGTGAGTCAGGCTGACTGCTCCCGCCCCGCTTCACCTCCCATGGACCATATGTAAGCGTCACTCTTCCATGACAGGCCGTCATCTTTATACAGATACTTCGTTTGCGTATACCCTCAACAATGCAGTCCACTGATCAACCGCCCTGCCTTCGTCCGCTACAGACATGTGAGAGTCCGTCCTTGAAGCCGTTCGAACTGACAACATGCAGGACGATCCCGAATCTCATCATCAGCTGCCACCCCCGGCGGTCCCGGCAGCCGCCGCCCTCGCAGCCTCAACCTCCCTCTGCAACGCTTCCAGATCAGCCAGCATCGCCTTGACGGCGTCGTCGGTTACTGACGTGTCTACACCATCCGACATTTCCTTCCCTTCGACAACAGTTGCTACCTTACTCGATGTGTTCGGGGTGGTGGTGGCACCCTCGCCAGGCACCTGCCTCGAACCATCTATACTCGTCCTACTAGATCCATTTCCGGGGCCATCCATACTACCCTTGCTGCTGATCCTGGTCCTGGGCGGCGGAGGCGGTGGTATTGCACCGGGCTTCCGTGGGGACTGCTCGGGAGAGCTGGCTGAAACATGTCTGCTTGGGAAAGATCCTACACTCTTGCGGAGGGAGGTGTTACGTTGTGGAGGACGGGGTGGAGGTGAGGGCTTCGCGCCCGCGGGTTGTTGGGGGCTGACTGGAGTCGACGAGCTCGCGGCACCACTGCTAGACTCAGTGGCGGGGTGTGGTGAGCCGTGGAGAAGACTGGGGACGTTGCTTGTGGGACTGGCTGAGACTGTCGGGAAGGGGAAGGCAGGTGACAGGCTGCTGGAGATGGTACCAGAGATGGATGGCGAGTTACGGTGAGCTGCAGGTCTCCTCGGCGGTGGCGGGGTTGGAACTGCAGTGTTCAGTCGTAGACTAGATGACCGCGAGAGGTTCGAGTCCAGGGACGTGCGGGGAGGAGTGCCTGCTTCTTCAGCCGTGTCACTATGTTTGCTGTCCGTCCTAGCATGTGAATGTCTCCTCGGAGGCGGGGCAGGCTTTCTGAGTGTCGATGCTGGATTCTGAACAGGCGTCGAGGAGGAATGCGATGTATTTGGTGGAGTCGGCGGTCTTGGTGGCGGTGCGACGTCCGTATCCGGATCAATGTCTATCTCAGGCACCTTGCCTGCTGCCTCCTTATCGAAGATGCTCTCCTTAGGGTCGTCCTCGGATCTCGCTGGAGGCGGAGGTAGAGGCTTGTTGACACCCACTGGGCTGACAGAATATCTTTGCCCCGGCGATGCAGGCAATGCGCCCGCTAGTCCTCCAGGTGGCCGGCGATCCAGCGCTGCAGGCTTATCTGTTTCTTTCTGACCCAATTCGACCTTGATTAATTTGCCATGTCTTGTTGCTGGCGGAGGCGGAGGCTTCTTGCGTGCCGACGGATTTGGCTGGGGTGGAGATATTAGCCCACTCCTATGTTCGTTGCCTTCTGGCTCGGAGTTCTCGTGCGATGTCCGCGGCGTTTCTTGTATATGGTTGGCGCCAAAGAGAGACTGCCTAGATATTGATGAGCCATCCGTTACACTACCTCCATCGGCGGCTATCCCCGTGTGACGCGAAGGGCTCGAAGTATTGCTCATGCCGGCAGCTCCGGGAGCAGGACCTTGGCCTGTCAACAGTAGTCTTTTGAAGGCCTCAACGTCAAGGCCAGCCTTGCCAATTGGGACAGACTGCTCTGCTGGCGATTGCGCAGCCTGTTCGATATCCTCTAACGTCCTCCCGAAGGGATTGGGAGGCGGTCCCCGTCCGGAATAAGACTGAGGCTGGGGCTGGGGATGGACCGGCTGGCTCCTTGCCATTGAAGCAAGTGCATCCTCGAAGATGGGCGGCGCCTCATTTTGAAAAGGGTCTTCCCTCTCGCCATCTAACGACTCGGAACTGACACTGCTGCTCTCATCACCCTCGTCACGTTCGGGGAGGGGATATTTCGGATACGAGCGTTCGGCGCTGGCGGATTCGGGACTCGAGGGCGGTGGGCTCTGGACCCTGACCTTCTTGATGGGCTTCTTCCTCTGAAATGTCGTACTGGGGGGCGGAGGGGCATCGCTCTTCCCTAGGGCCTGTAGAGCCTTCGCGAAGTCGCCAGCGGAGTGTGTGGGTGCCTGTTGCCTCGTAGCATTGCCGCTGTGGGATATGGAAGCTTCGGCGTTGGCGGGTGTCGAGGGTATAGGGGCAATTACAGCTCCGGGTGCAGGCGCACCTAGGAAGCCATTGGGAGCGCTGCTCTTGCGACGAAATGGATTATTATAAGAGGCGGTGGTCGATTCGGAAGCCATAGTGGCGGGCTGACTGTCAGACTGAGGTGATTCTCATATCACAGCAGCGTTGTGGCCATGGCCAAGCTCAAGTGGCTTGTTGTCGGCTGG